CAAGAGGAACTCCAAACAATCTGAGGCTAATCTGTCCTAGCTGAACAGTACTGGAAGGCAGTCTTACTTTGGAGTGTTCAGCCTAATTACAGTGTCGGTTCAAAACAGATTAATTAGGTCACTTGTACCTTTTTAAGGTGTCCTTAGGCACTTGGCAACAGCTAATAATAAATATCCAGTACTTTTTATCTCTAAAAAAAGCAAGCATCATTACCTCTATTCTAAAGATGAGGAAACTGAGACATGAGTTAGCAAAGTCATCTGCCTAATGTCACCTACTGAAAGCAGAGCTGCCAGGAACGAAATGCAGGTCTTCAGAGGCCCACCTAGTAGTTTAACCCAGGTACAATTGCCTAATTTTATATACAAAACATAGTTGTGTAGCCAAAAACTCAACTGTCCCGATTTATACCATGCAAACTAACGAAATACTGAGTATTTCTCAATCAGACTCATTTAATGAAACGGAAAAACACAAACTAAGAACTCTACCGGATGTGCCACTGTGTAAGCATAATTTACATGCATTTCAGCTGTGGTACTGTTTCATCGCTACTTTTAAAGGGAACAAAGTCACGAATGGCCTTTAAACATGATTCTGTCTTCAAATTCATACTTCAGGCTCCCAAATACAGCATTTTAGCAAATTACACAAATAGGCATGCATTATGCAACATAATACTTACACTAAAACAAAACAGCCACTAAAATAACCCCTTTATTCCGACTAATACAGAAGTAGACCTTTAACATCTCCACTTGAAGCAAATGAGGGTCTGTTACCTGCTTATTTACTTTAGGGCACAGCCCAAGTTCTCTAACTTGACCAATTTCATTTGAACAAAAAGAACCAAGTAATGTGTTGGGTTTTGCTGCCATTAAACAGGTATTGGTTTTAAAGCACAGTTTTGAGTGAACCAAAAGTCTTCTTAAATCCCGTAACATTTACATGAAAAGTCTGAAGTTTAAAACATTGCCATTACTGCCTAGAGAAGAAGTGGTAGAGGACATTCAGAAGTTCGGAAGTGCAATCACTTTGCATACACAGTAGCTGCATTTAAATGCTCTAAGTAATAACTCTATTACCCGAGCCATACCACCTTACTATGCTGACATCTATGATCACTGCCAAGGAAGCACACATCTTTGGAAATACCCATGAGCTCATAAAACATTTATTTTTAAATACTGATTTAAAAAAAGCCTTTATAATCTAAAGCTTGAAATATTTTAGTTCATGGATGCCCTGTTTAACAGCCTAAAGCATCCCAAGTTAAGCTGAATTTTATGAGGAAACAATCACCCCTTCCACCAGGAAGCAAAGAGTTAAAAGTTGTGCATCTAACCTAAAGCAAGCATGGTTTACCTGCTAGACCAAGTTCTAAAGGGATGCAAACCCAGATAAGGATAACAGAATCTTGGAAGGGAAGGCATCATCAGCAATACTGGTTCTTACCCAAGCTCCTTCCCCCTCTACAAAAGGGCCTGTACTAGAGATAAAAGGAAGTAAAAAGGTAAAGTAATCTTTCAATCGTTGGTAACCAGGTAAATTTCTGGTGAAGCTGCTAAACAGAACAAATTAACAAGAGGATTGGATTGCTGCCAGGTTTATTTCATACTGTGCATTTGCTAACTACTAAAGAGTAAGTGCTGCGGTTTTCACTTTGAACGAACATACACAAGAACTTGCTTAGGAGCAAGATACACTTTTCACATCCTATTAACTGGCTGTGAAATGGTTCAAGATACAGAAGAATCGATGAAATGGTTTGTAGAAAAGCAGAACAGAAATGCTCAGTGGGTATTTCCTAGCAGAGGGTTTTAAGTAACATCTCTGTCACTTCTTTAAACATATAGAACTCCATCTGTGAGAAGTGGTATCTAAGGCCTATTTAAGGCCTGTTTAATTAAAGCCAGTACACTTTGGATGAGTACTAACACCACATGACATCTACTAGTTTCTTCTTAGCAGTTGGTTATTTCCCCCTTTTACACCCTGTTGTAGTTAAAGTTTGCTAAGCTTTGTATCAGGAGAGTCCAATGGATACCTGATAACTGACCCACTTTTACTTACTTCCTCCAAAGCTAACAGTTACCTACTTAACAGCACGCTGGAGTACACAGGGCTATCATAAGGAGAACATATCAATAAACAATGTGTTGTATTGGTCACCAACTGGTACTCACTTTAGATTCCACATCAGGATCAAGCTTGGGATACACGCTGGGTTTAGCTTGTTTTCAGCAGGCTTTCCTGAGAATGAACAAACCACCCAAACCACACATCCTTCATGATCTAGAGCAACCCAAGGATGTGACACTTGCACCCTTCGCTGTAGCCATGCATTCGACAACTTCCTCATCTTCCTGTGCAAGACTGCACTATGCAAGTAAAAGCCCATTTTACATATAAGCACTTTTTAGGTTACAGTTCTTTAGATTGAGGAAGTTTTCTTCTGAAGCAACACGAGTGAAATGGCACATCTTACGCTTCACTGTAGTCCTCTTTACTTGGGAACATGCCACTGAACTAGCTTTTATGCAGAGGTATATGGAGAACAATTTGCTTTGAAGAATTCACAAGAGAAATAATACTGATGCCTTCGCACTCCACATCTAATATGTGCCGCTGCAAACAAAACACTGGCTTCACAGTGGCTCTTCCTGATGGGGAAGTTCCTCTTGAATATACCCAAAAGTTAGCAATTCACAAAACTTAAACCCCAATGTGATTTCCACCTTAACATTGCCACCTTTCTGTCTTGCACAATTGTATCAATACATATCAATACAGGAAATAATACAAACCAAACAACCCTCCCCACCCCCAACAACAAAACAGCCCCCCCAAGCAAAAAAAAAAAACAAACCACATTTGTTTCCCTTTAAATATAATCCCCATTCATTTCTGTTTAAATTGATCCAAATCCCACTCTTAGTACTTCTACAGAAATTCTGCTTCTATTTAGCTCACCTGTGACACTACCATAGGTACTTATTCACACAGCTCACCACTTCAAACAGGTTTACCAGCTTATATATCATAGTATCAAGTTTGTATTAACATAGCGATTCTTCCTAGACACTTCTGAGCCACTGATTAAAGTTCAGCATTTTAGATGGATTCTTAGCCTTCAGCCATCTCATGTGCCACAACAGTAAGCAGACTGCTACACCTCTGTGGTGCTTTCTTCTTTGTTACTTAAGTGAGTGCATTGCTAATGTTTAACATGACAGAAGAATTTAGGAAAGGGAATTTCTGCTTTTTAATGCATGCCTTTCTAATTTCTATTCGAGCATTAAACTCGAGGCTTTCCATTTATGGACTCCTTACTTTGGCTAATTGTCCAACTAATAAATTCAGGGACGCATTCTTTGCCTGGTTAACCATAACAACTCGCATAGATTTAGCGGGGTATATTTATAAAGAGAAGGGAAAAAGGCACGCTTTCTTCTGGACAAGGAAGCGGAAGAGCCAGCAGGTTGAGCTGACATTTACAGATAAGAGCACAAAAGCGAAGCTCCCGAATTGCATCTAACCCTGCAGCTGACAAGCAGAAAAGTAACAGTTCCACAGGCAACCCGAACTACTCAAACTACAGCGATGGTAACAACCGACCCTTGAGTTTTCAGCACCTTTTACAGCGTTGGGGGCTGTTTGGGGTGGGTTTTGAGGTGACAAAAACACTTGCCGTGTACAAATAACGCTGCCCGCACCATTTTCTCCCCTGCACGGGCTCCCGGTTCAAGGCCTACTTAAAGGAAACTGCTCCCGGTCCTGCGCGGTGCACTGTACCCAGGGGAAGCTCCCTGCCTTGACCCCGCCGAGCGCCGTGCCCGGGGCAGCGGGGAGAACCCCAGCCACCGCAGCAGCCTCGCCGCGCCGAGGGAGCGGGCAGCGGCGGGGGGCGCGGCCCGGGGCAGGCCCCACCGGAGGGACGCGGCGGCTCTGCGGGGGAAGGAGGGAGCCGACAGCAGACAAAAGCGGGTCGCGGCCGGCAGCGGGGTGGGGCCGTGACCGGGCGGCGGCGCCTCCGCTCCCAAGGGTAGAGCAGCGGGAAAAGGCCTGAGGTGGGCACGGTCTTTGGCCGCCGCCTCCTCCCCGGCCCGGCCGCGGGGCCCGGGTGGGCGCCGAGCGGCGGGCAGGGGGCGGCGGAGCGCGGCAGCGGCTCCATCCTTCCCCGCGAGGAACGGGGCGGTGGCCGGAGGGACGAGGCCGCCGCCGCTTACCTGTAGCTCGGTGAACAGGATCTCCCTCTCGGCCGCGTTAGACGCCATTGCGCTGGGGTTTGAAGTCCGCACCTGGACACTGCCGCTGCCGCCGCCGCCGGCGGGGAGGGGAGCGAGGGAGGCGGGCCCGGGGCCGGGACTAAGGGCGCATGAGGGGCGGGGGGAGCGCTCCGTGCTCGGGCAGGCAGGGAGCAGGTCCCCCTGCTCTCATGGGGGTCGCTCCGGGCGGGGTGCGGAGCGGTGCCCGCCGGGCCGCGGTGCGCTCCCCCGCCCAGGCGCGGCGCTCGGCTACCCGGCAGCGCTTGGCGGCGGCTGCTCTTGCTGCTCCTCCTCAGGCCGCCGCGGATGTCGCACCATTTGGCTGTCACCCTGTCGCAAAAAAAGCGTCGCTGCTTTGCGGCTCCCAGAGCACGTGACGCGGGGCGTAGGTGGGTGGGGCCGCGGCCCGTACCCCACCGCGGGCAGCCGCGGCGCGAGGCTCCTTAGGGCGGGAAAGCAGTGGCGGCGCGAGCACCTCAGCGCCCCCTTACCTCCCTCTCGGTTCCCACTGCGCCTCCTCAGGCCCATCTCGGTCCCTCCAGGTCCTTCCTCGGCCCCCTCAGAACCTCCTTGGTCCCCTCAGAGCTCCCTCGGCTCCCTTGTTTCCCTCAGGCCCGCTTCGGTATCCTCGGAACCCCCTCGGTCCCCTCAGGCCGCTCAGAACCCCTTCAGGTCCCCTCAGAGCTTTCTCCTCCTCTCTCAGTCTCTTCAGGTTCCTCATCGCCTTCAGAGCCCACTCGGCTCCCTTAGGCCCCTCAGATCCTTCGGCCCCTCGCCGCCGTAGTTCCCTCTGGTGATGGCGGGGGAAGGAGGTGTGTGCCGCTTCCCCGGTGTTGAAGGGTCCCCAGGGCTCGGGCCCGCCAGGCCTACGGTGAGAACCTCGTGGCCGGTTTGTAGCCAAAGCAGCTAGCTCAGGAAGCAGAGAGAGGTCATGCTTACCCCAAGCGCCTGGAGAGAGGGCAGCCATCTGCTGCCACGGGGACCTGGAGCGGTGGCCTAGGAGGTTGTGGTGAGTGGGGGCTGTTAATGCCGTTGGTATGAGTTCAAAGGGTTTCCTTGGGGTGCTTAGTGAGGGGGTTTTGGGAAGTGACACTGTTCAGTTAGTCCAAAGAGGAATAAGCTTCTGAGAGCTTCAGTTTGAGTGTCTGGAAGGAAGTGGTTTCTCTTCCCTCTTGGCAGCATGTGACACTGGCATTTATTCTGTTTCCTGCTTGTGTCCCTTGTTTTCTTCATTGTCACCTGCCCATAAGACAATAGTGTCTGTTGGTTCGTCTATACCCATGCACATTCTCATTCTACCTTAATAGTGGATGTTACATTAGGCTAATTGAACTAGTGCAAAGTGCTGTCTGGAAGCAATTAAAACTCCTGGTTTTAATCTGTGCAGTTCATATCAAAGTCGTGGAAGATGAGGCATTTTTGATAGATCAATTTTCATGTAGGTATCGGCATTTGTTCTGTTTATGCTTGCATTTGTCTGTATGGCTACAGGCTGACAGTAGAATGTTCTAGAACTGCACTTTTAGTTTTGAAGCGTTGGGGGTTACTTATTTATTGATAAAAAGGGAATAAGAGAAGTAGATGTTAAATTACCACTACTATTCCTAGTAAATCTGAAGTATTTAAGTGTTCTTACACTTCCACTGTTGAACACCAAACAAACCAGACAGTCTGAAGTGCTATCATGCAGTATAAAAGAATCTTGTGAACATATGCGCACAGTTAACTTCCATAAGAGAAATACTAAGATAATATTACAGCAACGATGCACATCTTCACAGAAATTGGTCTTTTTCAGTGATTCATGCCTGAGTAGCTGTGTTGATGTAGTTCGTAGTCCTGCACATACACAAATCTACATGTAGACTTAGTCCAGTTGAAGCCAATGGCTCTATTTCTGATCTGTGTGGCCAGACAATTACAGGCTGGGAGGAAAAGGGTAAAGTCGAGAAGAGAAAGACTTTACCTGCCAGTTGTCCAACAGCCACTCTTTTACAGAGAGTATTGAAAGTTCATAAATCTGGGGTTAACAGAGTTCTCATGTAAGATCTTAATTACTGTTCATTGCTGCATTAGTACATGACAGGAACCATATCGTAGCTGTCACAAAGGAAGATAAAACATCTGAGGCTAAATTGTCAATTGTGTTAAATTGTACTGAAACTGGCTCAGCAGTTGGATAAAAGATTTGAAGCGTATACCTTCTGTGGTGAATATAAATTCCTCAAAAGCAGTTTGGGTTCTTGAGTGACAGTGTGATTTTAAGCTACCTGAGGAACGTTATGTGGGAGGTCAGTCAGGTCACTTTTCTGAGTCTGGGCATCATCTTTATGGGATCAAGAGCCAAAATATACATAAGTCATATCTTTGTTATAAGGAAGAATTTCTGGAATAATTAATGTGACTCAGTTTTGACAAGGCTGTGGGAGGAAATCCTGGTTATTTTTCACCAGACTTCCTGCCTCAATTTTTCCCATAGTCAGAGTTTCACATTATTTAGTAAAATTTGGGCTAGCACAGACTTACTGTTACATATATGAAGTACTCTTAGTTTAGCAGTCACATGTCAAAAGGCATAAATTGGCTTTACTTGTGGAGTATGGCATGGTTTGGGGCATATTGTGGAAGAAGGGGAGTGGCAAAGTGACACATTGATACAACATTTTCTCATTTTGACCATGGCAGAATGATGCCAAACTGTACTTCAAATTCATTTGAACTGCCTTTGAGAACAGATTTTTAAGGATATATGTATATATATGTGTATATATGTATATGTAATCAGAAATGACTGGATTATTGTGACTTAATGACTTCATATACTGGTCAGTGTGTATGTGGTCCAGTCCTGCAGCTCATCTGCTCTCCTTGCTCCCATTGCAAAGGAGAAGTCAGTGTGCATGTATATTTTACAAGATGGGGTCAGAAAGAAACACAGATTGTGCCCACTCTCCAAAATCATAGTTGCATGAGGGGGTGCTTGAACAAAGTTAATGAAGCTTTGAGATTCTGTCTAAAACAGGCAGCTGACTTTAGTGCATGCTTAACCTAGCCTAAAGTGTATTGTTATCCCTGTCAAGACAGGGCCTGTAATCTTTTTTGTATTCCCACAACTTGGAAGGACAAAGTCCTAGATTCTTTGATAGAAGTGTAACAGTACAGGAATCAAAAGAGGAACTGGTTTGGAAAAATATTAGCTTAGCTAAATCTCTGATACTTAACCATTCGTCCTCAAGAGAAATTGTTCCTTAACCATTGTTCCTCCAGCACAAGACAGTGCTGGATTACTGTAGCTCTGTGTTTAAGTACTGTGACAGTGAATTACTGAGCAAGAAAGAACATTCCAAGTGAGTCTCAAAATAGAAGGCAGTTAAGTACGTAAGTCCAAGAATTTAGCATTATATGGAATCCTGAGTTCAGCCCGTGCCTTAAAATATCTGGATGCTATTTCTTCAGCCATTATTCTGTTAGCTCATTCCCAGCACTCAATTATCTAGAAAATTAAACTGAATGGAAAGGACATCACTACCATTTGCTAATTTTAATTTATTTAATTAGTTCTTTTCTTCTGGTTGTGTTACTAAGGTCTTTGTCCCAAAGACCTGGAAAAGCTGATAATTCCAGTGTTCGAGATGGTGCAAAGCATCCCTTGTGAACCCTTGAGCATGGTACACAACCTCTTAGAAAAATATCATATAAGCAAAATCTAGGGTGTGTTTTAGAATATCTCTAGCTAGTCCTATGTGCCATCTAAAGAAGAGCTTGCTTTCACATGGTGATGCACATAGAAATGAGGATTAAGGACATGTGAAGAAAATCAGATAGGTATTAATTATTATGCTTACCAGGAAGACACTACCAGGGAAAATTAAGTTTTTGTTTAAGCTTCTGTTTAATCTCACATGTTTAAATTAGTGATGTGTTCTGGAAGGACAGCACTGTAGAGACATGCCTGGGGAGGGAATGAATGACACTCTTGGGAAGGAAGAAGTCAGCTAGCATTCTACATGCACAGTGCTGGTAGGTGAGTGTGGGCAGAGCAATACTAGGCCAGCCCACCACCTTTCTAGGCACAGACCAAGCTCTAGGAGGTAGTGACCATTTTGATGGGGTGGGGTAAAGATCTAATTTTACCAGTAATCTTGATACCTCTTAAATGGCAGACACACCACACACTAGCATGGGAATGCTAATATTCACTGTTCAAGTCTACTTTAGGATAGCATTTTCTTCAAGTCCTTTTGCTTAGGAATAAGACAATGTAGTCTTTAGACAAAGTCAAAGGAATGTTTTTTAGGAAAGAACACAAGCAGATTTTTAATAATGTAGTAATTTGTTCTGCCTGTCTTCTGGACATAGCATTACTCTTGTATTTCCACAGTTGTCCTTCTAGGTTGGATCCCCTGGAAACCTAATCAAATCCTGGAGCTATGAGGCACAGGAAAAAGGAGATGAAAGAATGCGTATGTCTTTGTTTGCTTCAGCTTGGAGTTGTTAAAAAATAGTATATTAATGAAGAATAGTACTTTTCATATTCCTGTTTTGTTTGTCAAATCATTGTGGGAATAGGAGAAGGCTTTGGTTTTAAAAGCTTCCAATAATAAGTCTTGCAATAGATTTAGGAAGAAATGTGTCTAGATCAGGTTAAACTTTGAGATAAGAAAGCAATTAGTACTTTCTTAGAGCAGCAACTTTCTGCTGTTGAATAAAGAAAATGCTGAACAGGAGGAATAAAATTCAAATTTTAGCGTGTTTAGCTTGAGAATGTTGGTTCCTTTCTTGAAAACTACTTCTTCCATAGTATTTGTTAGAAGTTAATGCTCTGCCTTTCACTCAGATTTCTTAAAGAGAATTCCATCTAAGAAAAGGCTCCTGAGAGAGAGCATGAGAGCTCTCTGAGGCTCTTACTGACGTACCACTGCCAGCAAAGAGATGATATGTCAACAGAAAACTAAAATGAATATGGAAGTTTCTTTAGCTCTCGTGGTGCTTGCAAATTTTGCATATTCTTAAGCTATTCCTTTATTACTGTTTTAATTACACAGCTATCTTGCAACTGTGAGTGGATTACTGTGATGTAATCATAACCTTGCTAGTTTGCCATGCACTTTCTAGTTAGAATTTCTCTTCTGTGTTTGCACACTACTACTCAGGGCTAGGTATGGATATATCATCACCCAGCCAGGTAGGGAGATGCTATTAGTGGAGTGCAACAAGCCATACCTTACCATCTCTTTTATTAATTCTGGACCTTTGGAAGACTTGCTGTCAGTGTGAAAAGTGTTACAGGGGAAGGAGGTTCATTCTTATTACTGCCTCCTTTTCTTTTCCTTCCTCTTACAAAGGAAAATCTACCTTATGCCAGTTAATGTCAGTGAAATTCTGTGGAGAGGAAGTGCACTACCTGTGCAGAACCAGCCATAAGATCAGACCTCATTTCTCTAAAGGAGATCAACTTGGATTATTTGAAGTAATAACAAAATGCTTTATGGGTTTACATTAAGGCTATGATCCTACAAGTGGATCAGCATGATGGATCTTTACACCTATGCTAAATGCCAGTGATTCTAATTAGACTTGATTATAGGATCAAGCTTAACATGCTTCGTGGTGTTTCTGTAATGTCCTCTGAACAGATGGATTCTTGTGCTTTCGTTGAATGCACTGAAGTGAATAGGGGCTAGTGCAGCATTGGTAACATCGGGGCCTTATTTTCTAAGAATGTAGATGAGTATAGGCAAAGTAACTATAGCTTCGTGTTGTTCTTGGTCTCATTGCTTTATCTTTGTCAGTCGCTAGCACACGAATTCAGATGGTGACTAATCTAAAGAACCTTAATTCATTACAAAAACAAGGCAAGATGCATTCAAGAGTGATTCAAAATATGTTATCCTGTTATGAAGAATACTGACTTTCTGAAGAAGTGTAGGTGGCTGTGACCTGAAGTTGCTAGGAATAGACATTAACAAATTGGAGCTCTGGAGATAATGGAAGAATTTTCATGTGCAG